AAATACTGCTGAGTTAAACCAATGGTCATTTATATATAAATAGCGTTCTGCTGCATAGAGGTCGACCGATAGATAGTTTTTAGAGAATTTAACCTGTACACATTGTGTGTGTGTGTGTGTGTGTGTTTTAACTGGCACTGTTAAATGAAGCCCCATTTTTACCTGGAAGACACAAATTAACTTTCATATCAGACTTTTTGTCTTCTATTGAACTCTTCCGACTCATTGCAGAGAAGAGCTTTTGCAATTAAAGTGTGAAACTTCATAATGTCTCTTTAACGGCCCAATAATGTCTCACCAGATTGTGTTTCTGATTTCAGAAAGTACTCCTCTGTGAACATCAGCACTAACCTGTATGTGGTCAGTCAGCCGTGGTTATATTCGCTGGCGTGGTGCGCAGGCGTTCATTCAGTCACTACAAACGCCCTGCACATCCTCAAGAAACTGCAGCGCCCCATGTTCCTCATGGTGAGTCCGGATCACAAATATCACACTTTCTGATTGACTGAGTGATGTGTCACGTCTACAGAAGAGACAATCACGGTTCTCTCTTCCTCACGCAGACTGCAGATGAATACAGTCTGATGTGGATCCTGACGGATATCCTCTCTGCTTTCCTCATCACAGCTGTTTTCATATTCCACTGGTGAGTTCTGCTTCAACTAACCAGATACTAACCTGCTTCTGCAGTGCCACCCTCCTGTAGAGTTTAGTTTTTAAACTAAAGACCTTTCAGATCTAATCTGCGTAATATCTAATACCTATTTAAATAGAATGCATGATTAGAATTGCATCAATTGCATTGAATCCCAAATCATAGTTTATTAGGTTAATCTGAATATTCTAATATTTTATGTGCAGAATTTTATTCAAAAGCATGTTAATCTTGTCCAATGTTCTCCTTCAAACTTTCAAACTGAATGCTTAGAAAGTAAACATGGCAACACTGTTTGTTGTAATAATGTGATGGCTTGAGCATGTGATGTTTCGTCCTGTAGGTGGCGTGAGCGAGGTTTGCCGTTCTGGTCGGGCAGTAGACAAGTGAATGAGAATGGACCGTACAGCAAGTTCAGGACGGGTAAGTTGTTGATTTTTGGCTGTGAATCTCTCATTCCACTCGTCCTGCATGTGTCGTCCAGATCGCTGGCTGTTTTCAGAATGGCAGACTGTCACACTACTGCTGCCAAATCTGCAGTTTACAACAGATTACACTGCACTCGTGATGAAATGTGCTCAATCCAAACACGCTTTTTAGCATCTAATCATTGACCAGTTATTTGATCAAACAACAAAAATATAAGATTTTTTCACAAAACTGGAATTAAAATGCAAAATAACTTGGATGCATACATAACACATGGAACAAGGTCATAGTAGTGGCATACAATATTTATTATTGCATACTTTTACATACTGGTTTGTAAAACATAGTACACAGTATTATATTACGCAATAAACTTTTCCATTCTGAACACAGCCATTGAGAATTTTTTTTGTATGTATATGTGTGTGTTTTAGTTAATTGTATCTTTATAGGCATCGTAAATAATATATTTTATTTATTTATTAAACAGTGTCTATAAACATACTATTTTATACGTGACCCTGGAGCACAAAAGCAGTCTTAAGTCGCTGGGGTATATTTGTAGCAATAGCCAAAAATACATTGTATGCCAAAAATCATTAGGATATTAAGTAAAGATCATGTTCCATGAAGATATTTTGTAAATTTCCTACCGTAAATCGATTAAAACGTAATTTTTGATTAGTAATATGCATTGCTAAGAACAGTGTTGGGGAAAGTTACTTTTAAAAGTAATGCATTACAATATTGCGTTACTCCATAAAAAAGTAACTAATTACGTTACTTTTTATGGAAAGTAATGCGTTATGTTACTTTTGCGTTACTTTTCAAATCTGGACAGGGCCGACACTGTCCCGGGACCTCGACCTCCCCCTGCATGTTCCCCCTATGCATGGCTTCCCCGTCCCCATCTGACCCTCCATCACTCTCATTATGAGCCGCTCTCATCTCTCTCCGTCCGTCCGGCAGAGCTGAGCGACGTCTGGTCCATCTCCAGCATCAGCGTCCGCGGAGAGACTCAGAGCTCGCCCCTCACACCCAACCTGCCCACCATCAGCGAGGAGCCGCCCATCTGAAAGCCACACAACACAGATCTGTGGAGGGAGTGAAGCCTGCAGACCTGGAGCCGCTGTCAGCATCATCACACGTCCATTTGCATTCCAGCTTCAAACTCTGAGCTTCTGCTGTTGCTGCTTCAAATTGTGAAAGAATTCTTGTTTTAAAGACAGTTTTCTTAGTCACGTACTTTTGTCTCCAAGCCTTGTCAAGACTAGACTATGTATTTTGAACACAGATATTAAATGGCCCTCTATTATTGGCCAAACAGCAAATAAGACAAATAGACAAATAAGAAATATATTTAAAATAAATACATTTTATATACAAAATATATATATATATATATATATTAGCATATAATATATAATATTTTGGATCCAAGGAGGAACATACTGTATGTCTGTTAAATGGTGAAAAAAAATCTAAATCCCTAAAATCAAAACTAAAAGTAATTAAAAAAGAGTAAATAAACAACTGCATTGTTTTGAGAGTTTAGCACATTTTCCCCAATATATATATATATATATTTAATTTGTATTAAATATAAAGCCTTCAATTTTTTTCCACTTAAAAAAATTATAAAAATGTTTACATTAATGAAATTTTGTGGCGAAAAAATGTGCTCAAAACATGAAAGAATAATATCAAATAAAATCATATGTAACTTTACAATAAGTTTCCATTTGTTAACTAGATTTAATGCATCAACTAACATTAACAATGAGCAATACATTTGTTGCAGTATTTATTATTCTTTGTTAATGTTAGTCAAATACAGCTGGTCGTTGCTAGTCCATGTCAGCTCAGGTCCATAAAATAACATTAATAGATACAACTTTTGATTTTAATAATGTATTAGTAAATGTTGGAATCAACATAAACTAAGATTAATAAATCCTTTAGAAGTATTTTTCATTGTTAGTTTAACTAATGTTAACAAATGCAACCTTATTGTAAAGTGTTACCAAATATATATTAATAATAACAATAAATATATTATTTCCTATTCTAGGGTGAAATGCTTTTTTTATACTGTGCCAGTACCATGTAATTCATGTGCCATGGTATTTAGATGGTACTCGGAGGTAATTCATTGAAAATGTTATGTTAGTGATATTTTGTTAAAAAAATATCAAATGTATTTGACCAATTATTTTCAGAATTGGTGGCATTAGATGAATCCATCATCCAGTTTCTGTTGCTTCTGTGAAGTTAGTTTTTATCATTAAAGACTGAATTTGCCATATTTCAGACCCAGATGCAAACTGCTGATTACTGCAGTCTGACGCATGGTAAAATGAACTATAACATTGGATTTAATCCAGAGTGTTTGGGAAATATTCAAGATGTCAGATCCATTGCATGATGTGATAAAATTGACAAACATTTACAATCAGGAAGACGATAACAAGCCAAACAGACAATCTGAATTTGATAGATTTAGATTGCTGGAATTGCTGTCATGAAGCTTCAAGTGCTCACTTTAATCAACCTCTAATTAAATGCAAGGTTTCTGATTAATGTGATGAGCGTAAAGGTCTTCGTTTGCATGTTCAGCGGTCACGCTCTGGCTTGCATACATGTTTTTTGCTCCAGATGTTTCTCTTACCATGGGATGCTGAAACATTCCTGCCTGTATAAAATGCAATGCCGAGAATGAGTTCTATTACTTAATCTGTCTTAATGCAACTTGTGTCTGTAAACTGATGATATTCTGATCAATGTTTTTTGTTACTCTATATCATCTAATAGCCTAAATAAAAATATTTTTAGCAGAGTCAATATATGCCTCGATACGTATCATAACAAAAGATTTGATGTTACAATGAGAGTATCACGTCACAAAAATGTGTTGAACACGTTTAATTTTCATTGATGTACTGTTACACTTTTTACAGGAACATTTTATATAAAATGTTAACTAATATGGTGCCTTTGCATAAAAGAGTGGCTAAATAACAGTAGTCAGAACTTTGTTCTTAAATGAATTAGCACACAAAACACAAGAAACGGATGCGTTCAGGTTAGTGTCTGATGTTACAGTAAGTCAGTCAAATAATTGTGTTGAAGTACATATTTGGTGCAAATAAAGGCCATGAATTAATAAAAAGAGCAAACCTACTGCTCCAATATACACAAGCGACAACAGTCGTTCAAAACTTGATAACTTCAAGGACATCTAGCATATCTATTAGTCAACAAAACATGTCAAGGTCACATTTCACCCCAAAATCATTTCAAAAAGCAATAAAAAATTATTAAATGTACATTAAGAATGTGAATCCTGTTTTTAAGATCTCAATTTGGCCTAGTGCATCTGAACATTTTATGGTCTTTACAATTAATTAAATTATTAAATTCAATCCCAAACACTGTTACATTCTAATGTTTTTAAATCGTACATTAAAGGCAGTGCAACAAATACTTCTGCGATGCATGAACGCTACAAAAACAGGTTTCATTTTCCTCTATGCAAAAATAATTTTTCCTCAGGGTGAAATATGACCTAAACATGTTATTGACAGGTTTCTATGGTTCATCTTTATGTAAATACATTTTTTTTTTTTTAAATAAGGCCATGTATCTATCTTTTTTGTCTCCTTTCATTTACAAAATACACAAAACATGTATTTAATAGACTCAGGACTCACGGAAATGAGGTTATAGTGGCAGATCAAGAGATGAATGTTGATCATGTAACAATTAAAGGACTAGTTCACCCAAAAAATTACATTTTGTGATGTTTTTATCAGCTGTTTGGACTCTCATTCTGACGGCACCCATTCACTTCCATTGGTGAGCAAGTGATATAGTGCTAAATTTCAAATTTCAGTGCTAAACAAACATCTACATCTTGGACGGTGTGAGGATGAGTACACTTTTTCATAAAATGTTCATTTTTAGGCTATTCCTTTAAGATGCATGTAAAAACGGTTACTAGTCTTCAAAAAAAAAAAAAAATTGAAATTAAGGCCTGCAGTGTAACTTTAAAAAAGTGAATCAAATAAATTGAAATCACAGAATTCTCAAATGGAACACAAACTAACATTTGAACGATTATAAAAGTTATTTTTTTGCTGCCATTAAAAAGATTCATTCACAACCCTCCAGAAACTCATGCAAGTATTTTTCTTTTTTAACCACATAAATAATGCTTCAGGATGCATGTAGCAAAGCCATTCCAGTTCATAATCTACTCGGTTGAATTTGACAAAACGTAGTAAATGGTATCTAAATTGTGCATTAAAACATGTAATACATATTCTAGAGCAAATCATCCAACAATAAAACACAAATCCAGTTCTTCACATGCCATTTCCTAACAGGAGACGGAGACAGGAGCTTTCCTCAGAGGTAGTCATCCTCACTGGAGGCAGATGAAGAGTCTTCATCGGGACACATGGAGCCCTGGGAGCTGGCAGAGGGGGTGCGGCTCATTCGCCACAGCTGGGACGCGAAGGCCCGCCCCCAGCTGCACGGCCGACCAATAGGCCGCAGCAGACGCACCAGCTCCGCCGCCTCACGCCAATCAAACGTTCACTTGCTGTGGCCGCGTGAATTCCGCTGCTTGCTCATGGTGGTCAGCATCTGGCTGATGTAGGACGTCAACAGGTCATCCATTTTGTAGCCCTGTTATGAAGAAACAAGGGAAGTAAATGCACAAATGGCCATTTTTCTTTCCGCCGCCTCACGCCAATCAAACGTTCACTTGCTGTGGCCGCGTGAATTCCGCTGCTTGCTCATGGTGGTCAGCATCTGGCTGATGTAGGACGTCAACAGGTCATCCATTTTGTAGCCCTGTTATGAAGAAACAAGGGAAGTAAATGCACAAATGGCCATTTTTCTTTCATTAAATCATTCATATAAACCTGATGAAAGTGAGTTTTTCTCTCACCAGTGACGTCTCGCACAGAAGCTTGCTGCCCTGAACCAGGTTGCCGATAGTGATGTGGAAGTACGTGTTCCCGCTGCTCCAGTTGGAAATCTTAGTGAAGGGATACGTGGTTAAAATATCCTGCGGATCGAGAACAGAGAAAACAGAAACATCACTGCACACTGGGATCAATATTTCATCGCTGAGAAAAAAAAACAGTCGCGTCGATGTATAAGTAACATTGTATTAGTATATTCAGAACAGGGCTATTACAGTTAACTAAAACTAAAACTAAAACCATAAAACATACTTTAAATAAACATTGCCTGAAATATAAAAAAAATTAAACACGTAATAAAAATTAACCTAAAATTAAAACTGAAAATATAATAATAAAAGCTAAATATGAATTCAAAATATTATTAAATACTATATGATATAAATTATACTAAAATAAAATTACACTGAGTTTGACTGCAATGCATTATGATTTATTCCTATTTTTTTTTATTTCAGCTATACTTGCCAAAGCAACATTTCTCATGTTCATTTATATTTTAAAATAACTAAAAATAAATAATGACTAATAAAAAGAACAAAAAAAAAAACACAAAAAATTACTAAAACTTTAAATTAAAATGCAAAATAAATAACTAATTTTAAATATTTTTAAAAACCATTCAGAAAGAATATAAAATATGCAACAATAAAACAAAACGCTATAAACATGTATTTTAGTTTCCCTCACTCCACAACAAATCCTTTACATTTAACAGTATTCAAAACTGAACAAGAATAAAAAATTAGAAATTGTATTAAACAAACATAAATTATAATGCCATTAAACTACATATACTATAAACACCAAGCATAAATACATTTATTTTAAAAAATGTATTCAAACTAGTGAAACTAAAACTACTGAAACGAATGCATGTGTTTGTGTGCTTGACATTAACTGCCTTATATAAGTCGGATTGTAATATAATTTGCAGTGCATTTCAGATGAAAAAAAAAAGGAAAATACGGTCGTTGCATTATGAAACTTTAGTAAAAAGCAAGAAAAAGAAAGAAAACTCACCTTGTTCTTGGGGTCGATCAGACTGACTCCATATTTATTGATAGCTATCAACAGGATCTCAGGGAAGTGTGGCTCCGTGGTTTGCTGCATTGGGATCAATGAAAAAAAATAAAAAATTCAACAAGACAGATCGGTCCATCCAGAGAAAAATTTTAAATGAAATTGAGCTCTAAGAACTCTGCAATCATAAATAGCAAGTAGAAAAGTGGCAGTTTGCCGAATAGCACAGTGACAGTACCTTCACTTCAAAGAAGGCAGAGCCAAACGTGGGCCATTTGAAAATGATCTTCAGAAACATCAGCTTGGCTTCCTCCCTTGATTTCCCAGCATGTCTGTTGAAGTACGCCACAATCGACTGCAGATCATAAAGATGATGTACACTGTGTCAATGCAACTACAAGGATCAGTATGTGAAGGACACACACAGCTGAGATCATTGCAAGTGTGACACAAACCCTTTTCCAGTCGTCGGGCGAGAGCTGGCGAATCAGGTCCTGAGGAATCAGCTCCTTCAGCATCTTGGGAATGCTGGGAAAGTGGGATTTGTCATCCTCGAATTTGACCCGGTAGATCAGAGCGCCGAGCTGGAAAACCTCTTCTCTGGAGCATTTATGATATCCACGCAGATACTTGGGAAGTTCCTACACACACACACATGTAGATTATGAAGATAGGCTGATGTGATATGCTGTATTTGATACAGTACAGGGTTTTAACCATGGTTCATTCATAGTTTCGTGATGTACTATATAGATGCAGCTCACCTGATAATAGTGGAAGATGGAGTCTGCGAAGGAGTCTTTGCCTGGAACGGTGGTCGTCCACAACTTCTTCATGAAAAACACCTGGTAGGTCAATGAAGGCACTATACCTGAACATCAGAGTTAGAGCCATTACTTTGTACCCTTTGCATTGCATTGCATTGCATTGCATTGCATTGCATAAAATAAAATAAAATAAAATAAAATAAAATAAAATAAAATAAAATAAAATAAAATAAAATAAAATAAAATAAAATAAAATAAAATAAAATAAAATAAAATAAAATAAAATAAAATAAAATAAAATAAAATAAAATAAAATAAAATAAAATAAAATAAAATAAAATAAAATAAAATAAAATAAAATAAAATAAAATAAAATAAAATAAAATAAAATAAAATAAAATAAAATAAAATAAAATAAAATAAAATAAAATAAAATAAAATAAAATAAAATAAAATAAAATAAAATAAAATAAAATAAAATAAAATAAAATAAAATAATACTTGCAGTGGATTAAGTGATTTACTCTGGGTCAGTATTTATACTTTATTCAGCTTTATTAATTAATACTTTTATTCAGCAAGGATGCATTAAATTGATCAAAAGTGGCAGTAAAGACATTTATAAGGTTACTAAGGATTTCTATTTTAAACAAATGTTGTTTTTTAAATAAACTTTCTATTTAAAAATGTCAAACAAATCCTGAAAAATAAAATGTATCACAGTTTCCACAAAAATATGAAGCAGCACAACTGTTTTCAGCATTGCTAATAATCAGAAATGTTTCTTGAGCAGCAAATCAGCATATTAGAATGATTTCTGAAGATCATGTGACACTGAAGACTGGAGCCATGATGCTGAAAATACAGCTTTTACATTTTTTCCCTATTTTTACTATCAAATAAACGCAGCCTTGATGAGCATAAAAATGTCATCTTCAAAAACTTTAAAGAATGTTACCAATCCTTACCAAATACTAGTGTATCATGGTACTGACATCCAAAGAATGTCATAAAAAGAAAATGCCATGGTAATGTTTTGCCAGTGTACATGAGAGATGAATAGAGTAAACCCTACAGTAAATGTGCAGTAAAATTCACAGCTGTACCATCTTTAGCGGGTCTCGCTTTCTTGATCCAGTCTGTCAAATGGCGGACAAAGTCGAAGAAGAAATCACCCTCAGGTACACTTATCACCTACAACACAAAAACACAGACAAAATAACAGGAATCCCATATTATTCTAACCCCATAAGCTTGGGTTAGGTCCAGAAAGATGTGCTAGATTGTCAAAATCCCATTGCCCAAAGACGATGCTCTGGCTCACTGTGTGATTTTTACCTTATCAGAGATCTTGACAAACAGACTGAAGCCGTCGGGTGATTTGAGCAGCAGTCTGCCGGAGATGTTCAGACAGAAGTCTTTGGCCTTCGTGCTGGACTCCACCTCAAACGCCTGAAACACACAGCGGGAATCCCAAATTAATTTCAAGGAATATTCTGGGAGGGTTGAAAATTCAGAAATGTGAAGCTTTATTCAGTGTTATTCTAGCAACACTGATGTTATAATAGTTTCAGGTAATATTTTGAATTAGATTTTATTTTTATATTTTCTGTTTTTGTCATTTCTATTAATTTAAAAAAAGATATGTCTATATAGTTTTTATTAATTTTTACGTATTAGTTTTAGTTTATTTAGTTCTAGTTATTTTGGTACTTCATGTTAACCTAAGTGAAAATGAGAAATGCTGCCTAACTAGCTGAAATAAAATTTTTTCAATTCATTCTTATTAATTTACTTTAATTTTATTTTATTTTATCCATTTAAGGGCATATTCTGGGAGGATTTAAAAGTAGAAATGTGAAGCTTTTATTCAATATTATTTCAGTATCATTGATATACAATTACAGTTTCTGTTAGTATTTTGAATTAGATTTTATTTTTTCACTTTAATTTTAGTTATAGTTTTAGTTATTTTGTTGTGTTTTTGTCATTTTATAGTTATTTTTAAATGTAGTTTTTATGAATTTTTATTTATTAGTTTATTTAGTGTTCGTTATTTCAGAACGAAGTAAAACAAGTTAAAAATGTTTATACTTTATTTCATTTAATGTTTATTTTATTTCAAGTAATGAAGATGTTTTATTTATGGTTTTCATTTTAGTTGAAACCTACTTAAAGTTATATCTACTTTAATTCATTTTATTTCAAGTTTTATCGTTCTAACAAAATAAATACATTCATAAAAATGTCTTTGTTGAAGCTCACTATATCAGTGTCACCTCCGAATCACATTACTGTACAAATAAACAAGCTCTCCATATGTTTGATGAGTCATAAGCATAGGCAGGTCTGTCTCACCTCATCAGTGTCGTCGGGGAAGTAGACTTTGTGAAAGATCTGTGTGGTCTTGTGCTGAATAGCCTCCACCTCCACAAGGTGCGGCGGATACTTGCGGGAACCGCTCCTGCACACAAGCAAACATACGGCGTCCATGATGAGCCATTCATACTGTAACACTCACATTCACAACATCACGACTAAAGAGTCCTCCTGACTGAGAGCTCAGAATGGAGTGACATTCAAAGAACAGAAAAACAGGGTGAAAGAGATAAAGAGGACATGACGTCAAAACCAAACTGCTTGATTATGAGCATCCAGCGGTTCAGACAGAGGATATGAGTAATTCCACTTCAGGAACAGAGTCATTTCAGGAGCACTGGTGCATTCAAGCCCAAGCTGGTGAGTCGTAATTACAACATCGGAAGTGACAGAAAGTCACTTTGTTTGGTGCAAGATGGTGGTACAATCTCTTCATTAAAAATAAACTAAAACAAATCTACAAAAGGAAGAACAAAGAATGCACAGAAGGAGTGTTTTTACTTTTTTCATGTTTAGATTTATGCATTTGCTTTTGCAAATCTTTTTGCAACTTGCACTGTATTTGAGGTATACATTTTATCAGTTCATGCATTCCCTTGGAATCGAACCCATGATCCTGGTGTTGCTAGTGCCATGCTTTCCTTTGAGCTACATGTTTTACATTTTTTTGTTTATTTAAGATGCCATTGCAAATCAAATCATTACACATTCTATCATAATTGTACAATACTATTGTATTTTGTATAGGTAACTTAGCTAGTTTTACTGTAAATGACACTGACAGGTCCAGTCAGAAACTCTGGGCTTTAAGTTTTCCACTCATAATAGGGCTGCACGATTATGACAAAAATCATAATTGTCGATTATTCCCTTGAAATTGTAATTGCGATTATTAATTACGATTATCACAATTTACATTGAATGATGTTTATACCATTGTTTGATGTAACTGCATGCCGTATTTTTATATGAAAATAAACAAGCTGAAAACCCTTTAGTGCTTTTCTATAGTATTAAGCCTCAAATGTCAAATATACATCGGTTATTCTTTAACTTATAAAA